ATCAGTAGCAGTAGCAGTAGTAGTACCTGCGCAGCTACAGGAGGAGTAGCAGTAGCAGTAGCAGTAGCAGCAGCAGCGGTAGTAGCAGGAGTGGTGGTAGCAGTGGTAGTGGTAGTCCTCGTAGCCGTCATCATCGTAGCAGTAGTAGCCGTAGTAGTAGGAGGTAGGAGGTAGGAGGTAGTAGGTAGTAGTACATCTGTGGACATACAGGGGGAGGGGTTCTTGGCAGTGAGTTTATAGATATTAAATGGTGGTGGTCACCCCTAAGTAGTATAAATTGAGCAGCCCTACCCCAGATAGGTGTCTATAGAATCATTCAACATCAGGTCCCTAGTGCCTGAGCAACGACCAGAAATCACATGTAAGCAAGGCACGGAACGCCTGCTATCTGAGGGTATCAAAGTTGCCTCTGAGGGTATCTCCTGAAAGCTATCAGCTATGTCAGATCCTCTTTCACAGATTGAAAAGAACTTTGGTGAACTCTTTAAATATCTGGCTTGAGCCATACAATGAAATCCTACGCAACGTGTAAGCTTCCTGCATGCAAGGAGCTTTCCATCTATAAAATCCAACCCCCAAGCCCCCCTGGGCAAGGGACCATGAAACGTTTTATGGGATACCATGACCATCCATGACCCCTGTGATTTATAGAGGATCTGTCCACCGTAGTAGTAGTAGTAGTAGTAGTAGTAGTAGTAGTAGTAGTAGTGGTAGTAGTAGTAGTAGTAGTAGTAGTAGAAGTAGAAGTAGTCAGCGGACGTCATTCAGAGGTCGTTCAGAGGTCGTTTTCTCGCCGAGAAATCTGGCTAAATACTGTCCATCGAAAGTGAGCAGCAGCAGCAGCAGCAGGAGAAGGAGCAGCACCACCACCAACACCAGCAGCAGCAGCAGCAGCAGCAGCAGGAGCAGGAGCAGCAGGAGGAGCAGGAGGAGCGGGAGCAGCAGAAAGAGCAGGAGCAGCAGGAGCAACAGCACGAGCAGGAGGAGCAAGAGGAGCAAGAGCAGCAGCAGCAAATACATGATGTACGTAGTTAAGGAGGTCGTTCCAATGTCGTTTTGGATGCCGTCCGGAGGGTCGTTCCCCAACTGAATTCCACAAAGACAGAAAACATCAGAAATAGCTGCGGCGGTGCGTGGAATTCTGAACGAAGGATCCCACAATACTACTTTACATCAATCCACCTTTTTCCCGAATGCGTAGCGAAGGGTTCCCGTTTATAGTTGGGGGTCTGGGGGTTGGAGCTGTGTTCGCGTGGCTTGCGTCGTGTCGTCGTCTCTCGTCGTCTGTCATCGTCTCTGGTCGTTTGTCGTCGTCGTCGCGTCTCAAATTTGCTGCCATTGGGGGAAGCTTTTGCAAGGGACTTTGCATGGACGTGTCACGTGTCAGTTTGCGTCGCTATTCCATTGTGATTTGCATGACACCGACATGTCGCGCAAGGAACGTGATGCATTTCGCTGCACAGGCGCAGCGTTTTGTGAGATCCGCAGTTTGCTGCGCAGTGCCATTGGGATTAGCGTTTGGAGAGTCGTGTTTTTGGGGTGTT